ATGGATCTCAGCTTTGGAGATATCAAATGGAAGATTACGAGCATAAATATACAATCTTGGGGAATGTGCTCCTTCTCTTGACTGGTACTTTTTTTCTTCAATTCTATAGGCAGATTTTTCTCTTGATCTTTGCTTCTTAATAGTGTCCATCAACTCTATCATAGCTTTTTTAGCAAGAGGATATAGATAAACTGCACGGTTTGCAATGTATGTCTTATGGTATCTTAAAGCTTTACGCATCTCAGCATCATTTCTAAACTTCACAAAGCATTCCTTAGTATTTTTACCATGAGGATCTTCTACAAGGTAAATCTGGTCATCTGTTATGTTTAGTTCATTAAAGAAATTTCGTACATCTTTTTTTGAAATACTATATGGTGTATTTTTTAACTGCATCCAATAATCTTGATCTTGAGGGGAATAAGATCGAGACCTGTGCCTTCGAGGTGACCTTGATCGAGTTTGAGAATGGAAATGTTTATTTTCATGATGAGGGGAACGACCTCGATTGTGTCGGTTTAGATCCAAATGTCTATCATCTATAAACAAATCAGATCCCCCAGAAATCCAGTCTAGTTCTGTAGCTCGATACACCTCTACAAACCTTTGCCCCATGTATTTTTTGTGACGCTTCAGTCCCTCAGCTGCATCCCAAGAACTGGCAAACCGTACAAAACACTCTCCATTATTCAGACCTCGGTAATCCTTTTGTAGACGAACTGCTTCCACTTGTAAACCATGGAAGAATTCTCTCACTTGCAGCTCTCCTGCAGAATATGGCATGCCTTGCAGATGTAAATAAACATCATCAGAATGAAAAGCTCCTTGTTCTCTCCTTTGATTATAAGCTGAATCAGCAAAAGGATCCATTGACCCAGAGCCATTAAATTTATCCAAACTATCGCTCATTGCTCCAGATGTCATTCCAAATAATGCAGACATTGAGGAACTAGGAGCAACTGGAATGTTCTGCGGAGAAGATAAAGCCATTGTTGACATATTGCCACTCATCATTGGATCCATACGAGTGCCATAACTGTTCATGTCAGAACTTCCAATTTCACCAGGATGAAAGGCATCCCTATTAATTTCATGTTGCATTGCTGCAACTAAGTTTTCAGCTAGTGTAGAAGACATACTACCTAAGCCACCTGTGCCAGAATTGCTGAATCCCGACCTTCCGTAACTGGATGTTTCTCCACTGGGACGTGCATATCTCTTACGACTCATCTCAATTGTACTCTGCATTTCGTTTCTGCTACTTAATGTTAGCTTTGTTCTACTCCCTTTAAGAAATTCACCCGATCTCATCAAAGCAAGCCGTGCATCTTCATCTGTAGCAAATACAATGAATGCCTCTCCCAGTTCACCACCAATTATATGCACCCCTCCATCAGGAATGGTTAATCTAGAGAAGAAGTGACGAATATCCAAGGTTCCTGCAGAAACTGGGAGCCCCTGCAAGCGGATGACCACAGCCATGCTGAACTCTATCAATAGAAAATGTTACCTGCAGGCAAGAAAGGCACACAGGATGACGTCAAATTATGTCAAAAAAGGTTCTGGATACTGCATTAACTTCCAAATATAATATTAATAAAAGTCAGAAATGTTAATTTTAAGAATAAAACAGATTCTTCTTACCCTGCACGAATTTGTTTAAACATTGACCTTCAATTCAAAAAGTATAACCATTGAATCTCAAAAGCTCCCAACTCTCAAACCACCAAAAACGCTAAAGTTGTTTGTGAAAATTCTGAAGATATCCTCCAAGCCACAACAGTTCTCCACAAGATCTGATGATGACTGAAATTGTCTTTAATGTGAAAAATGCCTCATCAATTTTAAGTCAGCCACAGCACCTCAGTGGAATTCATCTTGAAATAACGTGATAGATCAAAGTTCTAGTGATGCTTCAAAACTGCTGTCCAAGTAAGTGCTACTTATTAGTACTGTATCATTCCTTCTCCAAACAAGGAATGTAAAAAGGACCTAGGGTTAAAATTCAACTGAAATTAGCTAAAAACAAAATACGGTCTATTTTGCAAACTGCAACCATGGCTCTTTATGTAAAGAGTCCATCACATCTTTTCTCCCACATGGTAATCCACCCCTGTCAAATAACTTCACTCCAGGAATGGACAATTCCTATTTATTGTTTTCTCAAAAAAATACAAACAAACCACCTCAAACTAGTAACCCAAATTTTCTTTTCCCTTCAAGTATTGCTCTGAACTCTGCAAACAACTCCAGATATAAAGCAAATGCAAAATCCTAAAATCCACATTGGGGCATTTTCAAAATGTTGTAAATGACTCCAGGCAAACTGAAAAATCCACTACTGCACATAATTCAGCAGTCCACTTGAGAAACAAGTTACTTGGTCTAAAAGATGGTTCTTTCAGGTAGATCACAACATTAATGTTTTCGCGAAGGTATCAGGTACTGTAGACTTGATTCTGTAGCAACTCAAAGGCAGGTTCAGCTAACAATATAGCATATGCATTTAATACAACTAGAATTCTTCCTTTTTTTCAAATCTTGATTCTTTTGAAGTAACAGTCCTTACGTTTATGTTTTTGTTCCATAAAGGAGATTGAAAGTGATAGTCCTGGAGTTGCACAATGTGTACATTTTTAACCAACCCAAAATGGACAATACACAGACTCTCACCATCTGTTCAGAACATAGATTCCTGGTCTAAATACTAGTTAGCACTATGGGCAATAGGAATAATGCACATAATTCGGTAATAAAGCAAAATTACAGCAACACTCACAAAAAACCTAATATGCACTTTGAGAAGTTTAGATTACTCCAATGCATTGGACTAAACAGCAGTGAACAAATATAGCAACTCAACAATTGTAAAAATGGAAAGGTCAGATTCAAAATTTCGTTGCCAACTATTGTAATTCATTTACAAGTAAAGCAGAAAAAAATCTCTAAAATATGCTACACAGGACAAAGTTAAATACTAACCCCGCATTATAAAATGTATCTATTAGTTTAATAAACACAGGTTTTTCTTAACTATTGCTTCATAATGAGATGTAACCCTACACTAAAACACAGAAATTGTGATGCACAGGAAATGCAAGTGCTCTGCAGCTTGGTGTGCACAATAACAAATTTTTACCCATGCATGGCTACTTGGGAAATGATACATTTATTACAAGTTTATTTTCACTTTCCCGTTGGTTTGAAAGTCACTATTCGTAACTGAATCGTGACATTTGCAATAAAGAAACTCAAACGTGTCAGATGGTTATGTGACAATAATAAAGGTTAATAGTTTATCCCAGTTAGACAATTTTCAGTCACCTACCATTTGTATGACACTAACCTGTAAAAAGATTTCTTTTAAGCAGATGCTCGAACAGGTTCGTTAAAATCAACTCTACAGACTGCAAAACAAAAGAACAAGATTAAACCTGTAATAAATCCATTTAGAATCAAAATAATGGTGGGATTATCAAATTATGAATTTCAAGCACCTGCCATTGAACAAACTTTATCTAATTAAAAACATTTCAATAAAGTTATTCCAAACTAAAAATTCATTTCATCAACTTGTGAAAATTTTGCTATAACAAAAAAAAATCCATTTACGGTAGGCCACAACTTTGATTAGAGAACATTACATTCCCACTATAACAGATATAGCAAGTGCTGAAAGTTAATAAACTGCTTCAAGAATTAAATTCTTCTTCTTTCCTAGAAACGATGATAAAAATAATAATAATTCAAACATTCTGAGAAACTGGCCAGTGTTATCAAACAATGCTTAATGCCAAACTACTCAAGGCAAATGATCAAAAGTTTGATGAAAGATTAAGTCAAAGATTTAAGTTTTGATAAGCGTTTTGAGCAGTATGAAATGGTTGAGAGGCTCAGCAGGGAATTCAAGAGCTTAGTGCCTTCAACTCAGTGGATTCAAATAAAGGAAGTGTATCAAAAACGCTTCAATGCTTTTCCAGATCAAAATCACAGACTATACACATGTCGATCATTAGCGATTAACACAATTAAGACCGATATGTAATACAGCCTTTTCCTTTGAAAAGCCGTTTCTGATTCAGATATGCTTATTTGCTCGGAAAACTGCATTCAAAAATCACTTTAGCGCGTTTGGTAATAGAGCCAAATAGATAAGGAGGGTTCCTGACAACATTATCGGGAACTGTTCAAACTCATACCATACTGAAAGAAATAAATCTAAGCTCAAACGTCCCCCATGTAAAATCGTTTAAGTGTTTTGTTTCCCAACCCCCCAATATTTTTAAGTCTTCGTTTGTTTAAATCGCAGGTCGTCGAGATAAAACAGTGGGACAATTCAGGTCAAAGGTGGAGCAGGCGTAGGTAACCTCTGCAAGGATTCAATTTATTCAGGACGCAGCCCGCTCCACGTGAACAAAAATTTTTGTGCCGGCGGGAGCTGCAAGCCAAAGAAGAAAACCTAAGCGGCAATAAGGTAAGTGGCTGGGCCTGCAGTTTTACTACATCCACTCTCCAAACTCCCCCGCCCCAGTTCGGACTCGCTCCTCTCCAGCAAAGGCCCGGTTTCTCTACCCGACCCGGAGGAGGGAAAAACGCCCGCCGCCTCAGCATACGACCGCTGCTTTCCAACACCCACCCCTTTGGAAGGACAGAAAAAGCCAGGTTAAAAGGGAGGCAGTAACCTGTCTACACCGACCAACTGACCCGCCGCCGTCGCCGTCGCCTGGTCTCTTAGCCACCGACACGATGGCGCTTCCGCCGCCTCCGGAGAGAGAAGTCCTGACAGTTCTGTATTCAAATATAATAAATCAAAACCCCATTCCTTGGGCAAAGTCACAGTCGATTGAGGTTCAGAACTCTACAGTATGGTTTGCCGATTTAAGTCGATTTTTTTTTATCTAGACCAGTGATTAATCGTTCTTTTTTTCCAGTGGAGTTATTTTGAAGCAGGGAGCTGTCAGGACCTGCTGCCTGCCCCGGTGTATTTTGGGAGAGCCGGAGGGCGGGGAGAAGAGACGGTTGGCTCTGGAAATGGCAATCGGGGAGGTGCTCCCGTCCTGGGTACTGTTGCTTCTCCTACAGCTACCGTCTATCCAGACTGTAATCCTCTCCATGCCTTTCCAAACCGCGAAACAGTGCACCAAGCGAGAGTATTTTGATATTTCCCGAATGGTGTGCAGGCCGTGTGGCGCCGACCAGCAGTCAAGTAGCGATGGTGGGTAAAACTTGTCGGATGGTATTTTGGGGCAGGGGGTGGTTGGTGCCTAGTAACAAGAAACAACTCCGCATGAGAAACGTTTGCAACGTAGCAGCAGGTAGGCTAGCGGAGAACGATTGGTTATTGTTGGTTGAGGAACCTACCCGACGACAAAAAAAACACGATCGCGGGGAAAGGCCGTTCAGCCCGTCATGCGCATACTATCTCATTAATTAAGCACCATTATTTGACGCCAGTCGCCTACTTTTTCTCACCTGGATCTTTTGGAGATGAAATTAGGACACTAGCAAAGGATGGTACTCTTCCAAAAAACGACAATTGATCATTTTAAGTTTGAGATTGATGGTGTTAGATCTCAGGTTGACAGCTGAGCACTCAGTCACGTATTTAACAAAGCTTTAGTACGCGACTTCTTAACTGCTGTTGTTGCGGCAATCTGACCTTGCATCCCCAGATCAGGTGGCCCAATATACACAGTGATCTTTTCCATTTCGGATGCAACTGCCAAATAGTAGGGCCTCCCAATGTTGGGGGGAGGGAGTGTGGGGTGGGCGGTGGTGTTAGATGACATTTTCAGGTAGCCAGCTGTGGCAGCAATGGTCAAATGCCCTTTCCCCTGTCACCATTGCCTTTCCCTTCACATTACCCCACACGCCATTGATTTGTGACAATTTTCTATCCTTGCCTGATTAAGGTCATGTGGGAAAATGTTTGAGAAGCACTATCATATCTAATGTTTAAACACTTCCCCCATACATGTACTTAATTTGTTTAGCGATGTCACAATGAAGGTGTGCATATGAATGAATGCTTCTTTAGCCTCAAGAGGCAAAATGGCTAGTGTATTCATTCGATTATTCATAACTGTCTTGAGGTGCCACATTTATTTTTCTTCTGCACTGGAGTCATGCACTGAGACCATGAGATGTAGGAGCAGAATCACAGACTTGTTATGGTACAGAAGGAAGCCATTTAGCTCATCATGCCTACTCTGGTTCTATTACATGGTGCCAATCCCCTGCTTTATTCCCACATCCCTGAATACCATTTTTATCCAAATAATCATCCAATATCTTCTTAAATACCTCAATTGAACCTGCCTACAATGCATTTCCAGGTAGTTCATTCCATATCTAAACTATCTGATAAAGTTTTTCTCACATCATCATTGCCTAGTTTGCATATCGCTTTAAATCTATGCCTTCTCATTCCTTTTTCTTTTACAAATGGGAACAGCTACTCCCCATTTGCTCTGTACAGCCCACTCATGATTTTGAAAACCTCTATCAGATTTCCTCCAGCCCCTTTCTCTTGAAGGAGAACACTGCAACTTCATCAATCTGCCCTCGTCACTGAAGTCTCTCATTCCTGGAACCTTGCTTATAAATCACTTCTCAACTCTGCTTTCCTGTTGTGTGCCATAGCTCTTCAGCTGTGGTTGAACAAGTGTTGTACAAGTTCAACATCACCTCCCTAGATCTTGTATTCTATGCGCCTGTTAATGAAGCCAAGAGGGCTGTATGCTTTATTAACTGCTCTCTTCACCTGTTCTGCCACCTTCAATGATTTGTGCACATAAACGCTCGGGTCTTTCTGCTGCTATCTCTTTTAGAATTGTAAGCCCTATTTCATATTGTTGTTCAATGTTCTTCTGACCAAAGTGCATCACCTCAAACTTCTCTGCAATGAACATTGTTTGCCACGTATCTGACCACTCCACAAATGTGTCATAGAAACATAGTAGATACAAGCAGGAGGAGGCCATTCAGCCCTTGAGCCTGCTCTGCCATTCTTCACAATCGTGGCTGATCATCCAACCCAATAGTCTAATCCTGCTTTCTGCCTTTGATCTCATTTGCTCCAAGTGCTATATCTAGTCGCCTCTTGAATGCATTCACTGTCTTGGCAGCAACTACTTCCTGTGGTAATGAATTTCCCTGGCTCACCACTCTTTGGGTGAAGAAATATCTCCTCTTCTCTGCCTAAATAGTTTACCCCGAACCCTCATACTGCAACCCTGGTTCTGGACACACCCACCATTGGGAACATCCTCCAAGCATCTACCCTGTCCACTCCAGTTAGAATTTTATAAGTCTCTGAGATCACCCCCCTGCGTTCGTCTGAACTCTAGCAAAAACAATTCCAACCTAGTCAATCTCTCCTCATATGTCAGACCCACCATCCCCGGAATCACCTTTGCTGCATTCCCTTGAGAGCAAGAGCATCCTTCCTCAGAAAAGGAGACCAAAACTACACACAGTATTCTAGGTGTGGCCTCAGCCTGTAAACTGCAATAACACATCTGCTCCTATACTCAAAACCTCTTGCAATGAAGGACAACATACCATTTGCCTTCGTTACCACCTGCTGCACGCTTACCTTCAGCCACCCTGATGTTACCACCCTGGTGTCAGGGTCAAGGATGTCACAGAGCAGTCACAAGACATTTTTTAGAGGGAGGGTGAACAGCAAGAAGTTACGGTCCACGTTTGTGTTAATGACTTAGGTAGGAAGGAGGGTGTAGTGAAATTGGAATTTAGGGAGCTATGTAGAAAGTTAGCAAGCAGGGCCACAAATGTAGCCAAATCTAGATTGCTCCCAGTGCCACGTGCAAGCAAGTACAGAAATAGGAGGATAATGTGTGGTTGGAAAGGTATAAGAGGAAGGGCTTTAGATTCTTGGGACACTGGGACAGCCTCTGGGAAAGATGGCACCTGTACAAGCCTGACAGATACTATCCAGATCTTGGTGCATTTGAACATGGACTGCTTTAGTATCTGAGGAGTCACAAATGGTGCTGGAATTGGGAAATCATCGAATATCCCCACTTCTGACCTTGTGATGGAGTGAAGGTCATTGAGAGGCAGCTGAAGATTGTTGGGCCCAGCACACTACCCCGAGGAATTCCTGCAGAGATCTCCTGTAGCTGAGATGCTTGACCTCCAACAACCATGACCATCTTTCAATGTGTCAGGTATGACTCCAACCACCAGAGAGTTTGCCCCCGATACCTAGTGATACCAGTTTTGCTAAGGTTCCTTGGTGTAAAGGTCTGTCATTCTCACCTTCGCTCCAGAATTCAGCTCTTTTGTCCATGTTTGAACCAAGGCTATAATGAGGTCAGGAGCTGAGTGTCCCTGGTGGAACCCAAACTGGGCATCACTGAACAGTTTATTGCCAAGCAACCTAGTTTAGAATTAGGTTTATTGTCATGTTTTCAAGTACAATGAAAAGTTTACAATTTCGCCCCACATGGTGCCATCTTAGGTGCAAAGTACATTATATTGTACAGTTAGTGTAAGTTACCAAAGATAAGAAAGAAAGTTAAAAAGATAAACAGTATAGTTTTTCTATAAAGGGCCTGCAGTAGATCAATGAAGGGGGCTTCTACACTTGGTCTGACTGGGCTCAGAAGCAGTCGACTGCCTGCACTGGTCCCCAGTCCTAGAACTGTCCCTGCTCCTCACTGGAACACTAGCTGTCCCGCGTCCCTGGGGCCTCCAGCCCACTAACCGACCCCTATTGCACTATTGAACGCACCTTCCATTACTTTACTGATGATCGAGTGTAGACTGTTGGGCGTTAATTGGCCGGATTAGACTTGTCCTGCTTTTTATGTATAGGACATGCTAGTGCAACTTTCCACATTGTCGGATAGATGCCAGTGTTGTAACTGTACTGGAACGGCTTGGTTAGGGAAGCAGCAACCTCTAGAGCACAAGCCTTCAATACTGTTGCCGGAATGTTGTCAGGGCCCGTAGTCTTTGCAGTAGCTAGTGACTCCAACCATTTCTTGATATCTCGTGGAGTGAATTGAATTAGCTGAAGACAGGTATCTATAACGCTGGAGACCACTGGAGGAGTTCAAGATGGATCGTCCATTCGGCACGTCTGGATGTAGCTTCTGTAAAAGCTTCAGCCTTATCTCTTGCACTGATGTGCTGGGCTCTTCCATCATTGAGGATGGGGATATTCATGGAGCTGCCTCCTCCAGTAAGTTGTTTAATCCTTCACCACCATTTACGTCTGCATGTGGCAGGACTGCAGAGCTTAGATCTGATCAGTTGGTTGTTGGATCGCTTAGCTCTGTCTGTCACTTGCTGCTTATGCATGTTTGGTGGCTTCATCAGGTTGAGACCCCATCTTCAGGTATGCCTGGTGTTGCCCCTGGCATGCCCTTCTATATTCTCCATTGAACCAAAGTTGATTCCCTGGCTTGATGGCAGTGGTTGAGTTCTGGGCCATGAGGTTACAGATTGTGCTCAAGTACAATTCTGTTACAGTTGATGGCCCATAGCACCTCATGGATGTCCAGTCTTGCATTGCGTGCTCTGCTCAAAGTCTGAGAGACAATAAGGACTGCAGATGCTGGATGCCAGAGTCTACAGGTGTGAGGCTGGAAAAGCACAGCAGGTCAGACAGCATCAGAGGAGCAGGAAAGGCTGAAACCCTTCGACAGTACTGTGGAGGGGGAGGGGAGCCCAAAAATAAATAGAGGGAGGAGGATGGGGGCCAGGGGAAGGGAAGGAGACATGGTGATAGGTGGATACAGGTAGGAGGTTATTGTGATTGTCAGTGGGAAGGGTGGAGCGGGTAGGTGAGTAGGAAGGTGGACAGTTTAGGTCAGGTCAGGGAAGTGAGGAGGGGGTGGAGGGATTTTGAAGCTGGTGAAGTCAATGTTGAGGCCATTGGGCTGTAAGCTCCCAAGACGAAATATCAGGTGGTGTTCCTGCAGTTTACATTTGGCCTCACTCTGACAGTGAAGGAGGCCAAGAATGAACAGGTCATCAGGGAAGTGGGAGCGGGAATTAAAATGCATGGCAACCGGAAAGTTAAGTTGTTTGATGCTTGCAGAGTGCAGATGCTCCGCGAACCGTTCCCCAATTCTGCATTTGGTCTCCCCGATGCAGAGGAGACCACATCGGGAGGAATGGATGCCATAGATCAGGTTGGGTGAAATGTAGGTGAATCTCTGCTGGATCAGGAAGGATTGTTTG